CCGTTTTGAAGGTCATGAATAAAATTGGTTTGGAAAATCTTTTTGGAGAAACGTCATTGGAAGATGAAACCAGCCCCCGGCGTTGATCAGAATTTGATGATGAATATCTAAACTTATTAATGGAAAGAATTCCACGGAAATGTACTTGAGAATTGGTAAACATATTAAAGATATCACACTCTACCATATATCGACATTTAGAAAAGAAAAAAAAGTAAGTCTGGTTTAGTTCGGTTTGGTTTGTTTTACGGCATTTCAACCTCAATAGGTTATTTAATGCCGACAGAATATTAATTTTGATCACATAAAAACAAAATTCTTACTTGTAAGCAAACGATAATTATTTGTATAGATAAAATTCTAGATTTATAATGCAGAAAATATTAGTCTGACGCATGAATAATTTCTATTTTTTTTTTCAATAATCTACAGAGGAACTCAAAATTAATCGCGACATTTAAGTATTGCATTTATATTTAAATTTATCTTTTAAAGTTCAACGGTAATTCTTCTAAGGTTACTTAATATGAAAACAATTTGATGTACGTAGGTTTTACATTCTTTACAAACAATTATTTTTATTTCTTCGGCGACTTTCGATGGATTTCGCAATTAATTTCAATTATTCTCAAGTTTATTACCAAGTTATAAAAATGTAGATCGTACAAAAAAAAAAATTGTCTAAAAAAAAATCAGGTAAAAAACGCCGAAAACTTGCAATAATAATAAATTGGGAATACAAAGTTTCAGGATTGCAGGTACGGATTTGGCTTGGGATGTTTTTAATGTTTTTTAATTTGCTCAAGGATTCGGCCTGATTCCAAAATGCAATATGTTGGGCTACGGCCTGTAGGAATAAAGTTGAAAGTTTGTGACATAGTGACACAGTGGCAATCGCCTTTATTTTTTATAGATTAGAGTCAAGTATATTTTCCTCTTAACATAATAGCTCTATAGTAAGTAGAGGAAGACAGCATGCGTAACCCATACAAAGGTTGCTAAACTTTTTTTTTACGGAATAGTGATAAAAAGCGATGAGTTGTAAATTTGACTCAATGCTTTTTGGCTGACCCACACTTATTTTTCTAAGCATTTTACCCCAAACAAACCTCAATAGTTTATTTAATGCCGACAGAATTTTCCTTGCTTGTAATATTTTTGTAAAAAAATCTATTGCTGGTAATATTTCTTGATTTTTTTTCTTAAAATATTAAAAGTATTGCTGATTTTAAAATCTATTTTTATACTTTCATAGTGTTTTGACCACTCGGGTTGGTGGGGGTAACTATTTGCCCATAGCTGAAACCTTAACATGTGCTTCCATCCTGAGTCAGTGTGGGCCTGAGAACACGAGCAAGAGGTGGTTCCAAGCTTGTCAAATCCACCTGATCAAAGGGCTTGTTGTCGGATGTAGTTTTCGTTTTACCCATGACCCGGATGTAGTCTATAGACTACATCCGGGTCATGGGACCTACCGAGGACGGAAAATGTCAGCAGCTTGTTGTTTGCATTACACACAGTCTTGCAGGAGGGAAACAACCCGTTCCTTATCGATATATATCAAAAGAGAAATATGGTTACATACAACAATACTCAATCCAAAAGGCGCTGGATTGAAAAGAATAAATTGATACAACAGAGGCTTAGACCATATCCCGTTGAAACAATGTCGAGCCTAGGTGGATGAGCTTTTTTGAATGCGTTGGCGTAGAGCCGAGTTCTAATTTCTGCCAGCCTCGTTATATTCACCTTCACGCAAATACTCAAGCTTTGGACCTATTAGTAGAAGTAGTATCAGTAAAAAATATTATCTCAAACCATTTTTTTAAATAAAAGCAAATTTCCCTGGCTTTAAATAACATAGAAATGGTTGATAAGCCGTGAAAAAAAAAAAAAAAAAAAAGAAACAAACAAACAAATCAGAACCCTAAAGATGAGTTCAACAGAAGACAGATAATGTTTTACCTTTGGTAGGATTGTTGGGGTACTATTCACTTAAGATTCTTAAAGCGCAATGGCTCTCAAAATGTATACTTATACGCCCGGCGAATGCAACATATCCATAAACATTTCCCCGAAAATCACTCTGCACACGTAGCCGGAAGACGACATTTATTTGAGAAGCATGTAGAAAAAAATGTTCTCCATGGCATAGCCACACACAGCAAGAATAACACAGGCAAAACTTTGTAACTCAGACCACACCAAACAATGATTACCTTTTATCAGAACTGCAAAACCCATCAAAACTTGCATAATTTTACTCTAAAAGGATGAAAGAAATCACTGATAAGTGGCAACAAGTCATTGCAAAAAATGCTGAATATGTAATTAAATATAATGCAAATATATTTGATTTGTTGAAGAAGTAATTTATATTGATAAACAAAAAAGAAAAAAAAAAGAAATTATTCATGCGTCAGACTAATATTTTCTGCATTATAAATCTAGAATTTTATCTATACAAATAATTATCCTTTGCTTAGAAGTAAGAATTTTGTTTTTATGTGATCAAAATTAATATTATCCAAAGAAAGCTAGCGCTTGTAGAAGAAAGAAAAGGCAATCTCATCTATAACGAAACATATCTTACTCTTTATTCCTTTGCCGAGGAACATTCTCTTACTCGCTTAAAAGCCGTCAGATCGATCGAGGGTTGCTTATTGGGCCTTCGGCTTGTTCAGGAGTTTGAGCGTCCCTATATCTTTGCATATTCTTAGCAATGGAAACTCTCCTGGCTGTCGTTTGATCTGGGTTTTCATTAGCATGGGACTTTCTTTTCTTCAGAACAGCCTTGGATGTTTTTATTGCAATCTGGTCCTCTGTTGGCGGAAATTTCTTTTTGCGATGCACACTGCTGCCGTATGCGATAGGCAACAATAAACTACAGAGGAACTCAAAATTAATCGCGGCATTTAAGTATTGCATTTATATTTAAATTTATCTTTTAAAGTTCAACGATAATTCTTCTAAGGCTACTTAATATGAAAACAATTTGATGTACGTAGGTTTTACATTCTTTACAAACAATTATTTTTATTTCTTGGGTGACTTTCGATGGATTTCGCAATTAATTTCAATGATTCTCAAGTTTATTACGAAGTTATAAAAATGTAGATCGTACAAAAAAAAAAAAAAAAAAAATGTCGTAAAAAAAAAAATCAGGTAAAAAACGCCGAAAACTTGCAATAATAATAAATTGGGAATCCAAAATTTCAGGATTGCGGGTCCGGATTTGGCTTGGGATAGTTTTTAATGTTTTTTTAATTTGCTCAAGGATTCGGCCTGATTTCAAAATGCAATATGTTGGCTTACGGCCTGTAGGAATAAAGTTGAAAGTTTGTGACATAGTGACACAGTGACAATCGCCTTTATTTTTTATAGATTAGAGTCAAGTATATTTTCCTCCTAACATAATAGCTCATTAGTAAGTAGAGGAAGTCAGCATACGTAACCCATACAACTATTGCCAAACTTTTTTTTAAGGAATAGTTATAAAAAGCGATGAGTTGTAAATTTGACTCAATGCTTTTTGGCTGACCCACACTTATTTTTCTAAGCATTTTACCCCAAACAAAGCGACAATACCACTAAGATGTATGCGGTTACTGGGAGTGAAAACGAAACGGAGTGAAAAGACTTAAAATGGAGACAAGGAAAGGACAAAAAACCAACAGGATTTATGAATACAGATGACGACGATTGATATTGCATTTATATTTTTGAAGGTTGTAGTTATCAGGGTAAAATGAAATCGGAAGGGATATTCACAGGTGGGAAGTACGAAAAAAGAAACTGTTACAGTAGAAGTGGGGATGGCATTTAGCTTGTTCGACAGTAAAAAAGAAGAAAAATGAAACAAAGTCGCCATTCTAGTGTCGCGCTTAAATTTACAGCTGTTACTATGAAAATATTCGTAGAAAAAGGAGATTTAAATCCATTACGTAGGTGAGAAAGTGATGAAGTTGGAATGCTTGGTTTGGATTGATTACATTAGAGAACCGTCTCTGGATTTTGTCAAGAATCTCGAAATGTACAGGAGAAGCACTACACCAGATATGGCATTGTCGGAGTTCTTAATTCACTAAATGTCACTAGAGGTCTCTCTCCCTATACTATAAATACTGGGCGACTTCTTGCCTCGTTCTCTTCTTCTTTCTTCTCACTACAAGATGTAGTTGTAAAAGGATTCTCGTCTGGACCATGAGCGGTCAGACGTTAAAAGCATATCAACGCATGCACGTACGTACGAACTTTTCCAAAAAACATTACAGACATACAGAACATTTCCAAACAAGCAACAAGAAATTTTCTCTTTGAAACATTCTTCTAAAGCTACAGTTATTCCATCATTTCTCAGCTTTGTAATTAATTCAACTGTTTGGAGTTCAGATAAAATATTCACAGTCTAAGAGATATAACACCCACGGATCTTTAACTTCTACGCATGTACATCAATATACACAAATAAATACAAATGTTATGTTTTTAAAACCATTTTTGTCCCTTCTTCTATTTCATGTTTTGTGGTATTTTACGTCAAATATAAATTGAGTGGTCATGTTATTCACGCAGCCGTAAACAAATATCTACAAACCATACATTCTTATCAATATAACACAACAAACTGTAACCCCGACGTGTGACATGGGGCGAAAAAAGCATACATGGTGACGCCGATGGTTCGAGGGCTAGTAGCCCCTATGCGTAAAATCCACGAAATATTTCCTTTCTAAGTGCCATTTTCAAACAGCATTTGAGATTCTCATACGCAAATTTTGACGCACGCATTCCAAACGAAAGCTAGTCAGGAAAAATACTGAAAAATAAAATGAAAAGAAAAACAAAAAACGAACGGACAAAGAAAATAATGAATAAAGAAAAATCATTTGATTCTAACCACTTCTGGGGTGTACGCAAGAACCATTTTAAAATATTTCATACTTTACGCATTTTGCCTTATTTTAATATCGAAGAATGATAAAAACCGTGATACTTGGTTAATTTGATTTAATTTTGAAAAAAAAAGAGAAAGAAACCAAAAACGTAAGAAAAACAGAAAATGTAAAGAAAAAAAAGTAAGAAAGAAAATGCAAACACGAAGAGAAAGAATCAAGAAAGAGTGAAACGGTAAGACACGAAGGAAAAAAGAGAAAGACTGAACAGACTACAAAAAAATAAAAGACCGAAAAAGAAAAAAAAATGTACAAATAAAAGAAAAAGACTGAAAAGCTAAAAGGAGGAAGGGAAAAGGATAGATGAAAATCTGAGAAGCAAGGGAAAAAAAGAGAAAGACAGAGAAGGAAAAATGCATATGAAAGGTAGAATGTAAATAAAAACGAAAGACAGAAATGAAATGAAAACCAAAGAAGATACGGAAATAAGGGAAACGAAATAAAAATAAGTATAAAAAGAAAAGATGGGGAAGAAAAAAATAAATTGAAAAACTCCTAACACCTACGCCAGACACTTTCATATAGCAACAGCAACATTATTCAATTCATTTACGAATGTTAGATTTGTAAATGTGCAAGACGGATTCTGACGAGAAAACTTCTGGCACGACACAGTGAACCAACTTTCCTTGCAAAAGATGCAGCTATTGATTCAATGAAGTCGTTCCACTTCAGGTCAGTGGAAAACGTGAGACGAAGAAAGCACAGTGTGTTGTTCTTCTGGTATCGGCCATGATGCGAGCAGAAAGAAAAAAAAACAAAGTTCTCTCGGTACACGTTCTTCAGTTAGTCATTAAATAACTACAGACTGCCATTTTTACCGGACAATGTTTTGTGTATCCTCTCAATGCCAGCGTCTCTAGTTCGATTCCTATAAAAGACAAGAATCAGACTGATGATTATATAAAGAAACGAATCTCTCTTGAAAGAAGTGTTGTCGAAATGTTTTTTTTTTGTTAACATTTATTTGTTGCTGTTAGATTTTTTTGTCATTCGAGAAACGAAAAACTTTGTAAATATTCTGTTTGTCATATGACGTTGAATTACTGACGGACCAACATTAAAATTGTTACAACGATGGCTATGGTTAATTGAATTTCTTCTGGGAAAAATCAGTGTGTCTTTACCCACCGGGGATTTTCAATACGTTTCCATAGATAATTGAGTTCTGTTTTGAATTTTTCCTTTTCAGTCCACTGGCTTCGCCTGATAGAACATTTGCGTTTAGTTGTATTTTGTAAAATATTGTCCCCTTTCCAACCACCTCCGGGATAAATGTATTTCCTACTTTTAGAAATTTTAATTTCCCTTACTAACTGAGAATCTTAAAAACATAATGCTGACTAAGAAAAAGAGGGAGAAAAAAAAAAGGAAGAAACAAAGCCGGACCTGGAAAAAAGAAAGAAAGAAAAATGACGTGGAAAAAGGAAATTAGAAAAGAAAGTAAAACAAATAAATTATAAAAGAAAGAAAGACATAGAAAAAAGAAATTAGAAAACAAAGAAAGAAAAAAACAAATAAATTAGAAAGAAAGAAAGAAAGAAAAAGAAACAAACAAACAAAAAATAAATTAAGAAAGAAAGAAATAAAGAAACCCGCTGTGATGGAAGAAAAATAAAAAACATAAAAATAACATAAATACTGAATGGAAGAATTAACTATAGCACGGGAAAGAGAGAAAACGGAAACGGAAAAGAAAAGTTTGGAAGAAAGAAGGAATGCCATGGAAAAGCAAATAAAAAAGCTAGGAAAATGAAATGTAATAATGATAAGAAGAAATAACGAAAAGGAAAGGAAGAAATAATAAATGAAAATAGTGAAATAAAAAAAAAAATACCATTGGAATAGAAGAAAAAGAAAGAATTTATAAAAGAAAAAAAAGAAATGACAAGCATAAAAAATAGTCGAAGATAAAGAATAAAAAAGTCAGGAAATGAAAGAGAAATTCAGGGGAAATAAAGCCTGATAGTAAGCCGTCGCAATATTTATATGAAAATGTAAAAGGAAAGCGTGACAGAAAAAAAAACATGAAAAAAAGTAAGAAAAAATAGGGAAAAAGGAAATGAAAAAAAGAAAAACAAAACAGAAAAACGCGTAAAAGAAGATAAATTAAGAAAAAATAATGGCAAAGGAAAGTAGGAAAGACAGATCAACAAACAATAAATAGAATGAAAAAACACAAAAAACGTACGGACAAAGAAAATAATGAATAAAGAAAAATCATTTAATTCTAACCACTTCCGGGGTATACGCAAGAGCCATTTTAAAATATTTCGTACTTTATGTATTTTGCCTTATTTTAATATCGAAGAATAATAAAAAACCGTGATACTTGGTTAATTTAATTTAATTTTGAAAAAAAAGAGAAAGCAAGAAATGTAAGAAAAACAGAAAATGTAAAAAAAAGAAAGATAAAAGCAAACACGAAGAGAAAGAATCAAGAGAAAGAGAAACGGTAAGACATGAAGGAAAAAAAGAGAAAGACTGAACAGACGACAAAGAAAAAAGACCGTAAAAGAAAAAGAAATGTACAAATAAAAAGAAAAAAGACTTAAAACCTAAAAGGAGGAAAGGAAAAAGGATAGATGAAAATCTGAGGAGTGATGGAGAAAAACAGAGAATGAAAATAAATTTGAAAGGTAGAATGTAAATAAAAACGAAAAACAGAAATGAAATGAAAACAAAAGATACGAAAATAAAGGAAACGAAATGAAAATAAATATAAAAAGAAAAGATGCGAAGAAAAGAAAGACACTGAAAATAAAATAAAACAATAAAAAGAGAAAGAAAGAAAAACGAAGATAAAATCGGAGATAGAAATAAAGTATAAAAATCAAAGAAATCTGGTAAAAATGACAGAAAGAAAAAAAAGAACGAAAGAAAAGAGAAACAAGAAATAGAAAGAAAAAGATGAAAAGAAAAAGACAAAAGGATGAAGGAAGGAAATAGAAACGAGTAAATATAAAGAGCAGGAGGGATAAAGATTAATGGGAAGGAAAAGGAAAGGAAGTACAAAAGATAGAAAGAAAGAAAGAAAAGGTGAAAATTAAAAGGAAGAGAAAGAACAAAAGCAAGGACAAAAACCAAAGAAAAAGAAATAAATCCATTGAGAAATAAAAAAAAGAAAAGACAAAAAAAGAAAGAAAAGGAGAAGACGATAACCAGAAAAAGAGAAACAACAAAAAAAGAAAGATAAAAAAAATATGATGAAACTGAAAGCACGAAAGAGAAGGAAAAGAAGAACGAAAAAGAAAGAGAAACTAAGAGAAGCGAAACAAAAATTGACGTAAGCCGTATTAACTTAAAAAAAAAAAGACTGAACAATTAAGTAAAAAAAAAGACGAAGAAAAACACGGACAGACAGAAAGATGGCTTAGAGGAAAGCGAGAAAAAAGAAAAAGGAATGGAAAAAAAAAAAGAAATGAATAAAATGAAGATTCAGGAGAGAATAGAAGATCAGACGAACACTCAGTAAGAAATTGAAAGAGTGTTAGTTCCGCTTTCAAGTCAGTAAGTGTTAAGTTAACACGACGGGAACAAAAGTCGCTTGATCTTTTGATTTCAGTCCTTCTACAGTTTAGCTTATAACTTTCCGTTTGATCTCAGTTGCAAGTAAAGTGTCTTGCAAATGGCTGTGGTGGAGAGCTCCTGTCATAAACGCCAAAGTCAATTGGCAAATTTGCTGCAACGTATTTGACACTTGGGAAGGAGCGATAACGTTTGTGCAATTTAAGAAGCGGCGTCACAGAAAGGAGGCGAATTTCCTTCGTCTTAATTTAGCATACATTCCACAAAAATGCGGAAGAAGTGTAGTTCTTTAACCTCCTGCTATGGTAGTAGTTGCAAAGAGCAGGAAAACGTTTTTTATTGTATTTGTGCAATTATTTGTTTTATTTTCTTAATAGTTATATGGAAGTTTCTTAAACGTAGGTAGTTACGGCATAAAATAGCGAGGAAAACGCTTGAAATGGATACCAGTATTTGAAAGCATACCCTCAAAATGATTAAAATCTACAATGCAGCAATCAAATTAATTCTGGATGAAGTTGACCCACTTAAAAGTTTCAACGAAGCAGTATATGCATCAGCAATGGCAGAAACTCAAAAATTAAACATTAAAAGTAAAAAAGGCAGTCTCACAGACACAAAGATCCACGTTGGAAACGAAAATAGAGAAAGAAAGAAATTATCAGTACTCGATGAAATGGCAAGAGAAACAAACGTAAGGACGGCAAAAAGGCAGAACAGTGAAAAGAAAATACAAAATCAGGAATAAAAAATTAAGCCCTATCACCTGATATGCCTCGGAAAGGGATAGATTTGCCCCGGAAAGGGATATATTTGTTCGAAGTAGCAAAGTGGTTTTGGACTACTGTAACCGGGTGTGATAATCTAGCAGGTAACCGTAATGGACTAGTCCTCGTCGTAGTGGTAGGCAATAGGCGAAGACAATATGCGTCGTCCATGTACCTCCACATCAGTCTGTATTTATGGCTGACACCAGCCAATCATATTACTGTGAGGAGGAACCCAGGTGTATCCATATTCATTACATCATCAGCTAATGAAAAGATGAAGCAAACATTAAAATTGAGCCTCAAAGAAGCAGACGTTATGAAAAATGATCAAGATTCTACCGACAGAACAAAATCTTTTAACCCGATGTGAAGGAATTTTACAGAGAAATACGCAAGCAAAGAACTGAAGTAACAGCCACCCCCGCGCCACAATGGAAGTGTTTAGACAGTTCTGTAAGCAAATATGGGGTTACTCTAAAGAGCATAATAAAGAAGCATATTGGATTACGCAAGAGGTAGAACGGATGGAAAACAAACCAGAACCGGCATATAATCATGAGGCATATAAGTCAGACAATAAATATTGAAATGGAGGAACAATTCCCCAAATTACAATCAACAAAGGATATTCTCAAATTATCAAACTCTACAATGCTGCATTCAAATTAATTCTGGATGAAGTTGACCCACATGAAAGTCTAAACGAAGAAGTATATGCATCGCATATAGTTCTGTTATACGTTGGGTCTGGAAAAACTCTGTCTGACACAAGTATTAGATCATTGCAAAAGACAGATATTAAGACTGATCAAGAAACAGTAAATAGATTTAAAAACAAAAAACAAAAAACGAAACAGGAAGACAAAGGAAATCATAAATTAAAAATTATTCGCTTCCAACTTCTTCCAAAGTGTAAGCAAGGGACATTTCAAAATATTTCGTACTTTATGCATTTTCATTATTTTAAGAATATTAAAAACTGTGATACTTGGTTTGTTTTATTTAACTTTAAAAGAAAAAAAGAAAACGAAAAATAAAAAAATAAATGTAAGTTTTGTAATGTCGTCCGATAAGGGTGGGTATTGGAATAATAACTAGAACGACAACTTATAAAGTCTAAGTGTTTATTTTAAATAAAAACAATACAAGTAGATATTTACAAATTCGTCTGAAACTGGAAAGCAAAAACTCCCCTGAAAACCACAACATAGTTGCGTATATTCTTACTGGAACAGTCCATTTAATAGAGGTGTATCAGTTCTTTGTATACGAGGGTTATCAGTTCGTTTCCCACAACAGTAAGAAAAATGAAATGTGTTTTGTTTTACATTAGGGCTGGAAAACTTCTATCTGACGCATGTATCAGATGATTCCAAAATTTCGAGTTCAGTTTTCACTGTTAATATACAATAATCATTACTTGACACTGGGGTTTGTTTTGTTGACAAATTCTGTCATTTTCTAGGTTGAAAACTTTGTTCGTTCAATTGCAAATCAGACTTTGTTCAATGTTGACGTTTTGTCTAAAAATGAAACCTTTAAAGATGAAGGAAGAAATTTGAATGTTTATTTGGGTGGTTCTCCAGCTCTTCGGTGGGGTGGAGGGTCAAAAATGCTTTAAAGGATTTCGTCAGAGTGATTTTAACCTAAACGGTAAAGCACAGACCGGGCGACCTTCTGACATCGATGAAGACGTTATGTATCCGATCGTGGAGAATAAACCAAAAACTTCGACGGAAGAGATTACTAAGAGATTGAAAATCAATAAAAGGTGTCATTTTCTATTGCGGCAACAAAAGACTGTATGTTGCAAAAGATACGTTGCAGAAGCTTAAATGATTGAAATGGGAATCACTCCAGCACACACTGTATTCTCCTGACTTGATTTCGCATTTGAATTTAGTCATATCGTTACAGAACAATTTAAATGACAGAAAAATTGACTCTGTACAGTCAGTCGAAAACAACTTCACAAATTTCTTCCAACAAAAATGACACCCAAAATTTTGTAGAACGATGGGGGATAATTTCGATTGTTTTAAAAAAAAATATTTACTTGACAAATAAATGTTTCCCGTGAGTATGTGAAATGTTATCTGTCTATATTTGTGAGATGAGGTATTTTAATTATTTACATTATTTAGATACTTCGGACTGTTGTCTTCATCTTTATTGACATATTCGGCAGTATAGTCCAGTCTTCATCAGGTGATTGGAATTTCGAACCGAACCCTTTATTTCATTCACAGGCGTAGCTTGTTCAAGTTCCACGTGACATGCCGCTTCCGGGTATCTCAGTTATCTCCCTTTAACTCAACTCAATTTTTTTGTTCACCACTGCAGTAGCTATGTATTGAACTCACAACTCTTTGGGTCAAGTCATTGGACCCAATTAACTATTTTATCAACTGGACCACGAGGACAACAGTTCGAATAATGTAAATAATGTAAACTTTGGTTTTAAATTTTCTAATCCGTTACGAACTTTTGCAATAATTTAATAAAAAATGTCTAACTACGTCAAGAACATGGCAGACATCATCGTTTCCTTTTCCGGTAGTTTTCATTTACCATTATGAAGTAGTTTCTAATATATTTGAAAAATATAATCCTCATCATCCAAACTTATATTAGTGATTCTTCAACGGGAGGTACTTGTAGTCTGGGATAAGGAATTCAAGGTCTAACACAGTGGTATACAAACGGGTCGATATTGACATATGTGAGTCGATGGAAGTATATAGGTGGTCATTTATTATATGAGGGTCAACAGAAGATCTATACTTGCCTGGGGGTCAAAAGTAGATTGATAAATAATTCCTGATAACTTCTGACTAAAATTCAAAAGATACCAATGCCCTTGCTACTATACAATAAACACATTCTTCTAATTACTGATGTCAAGCAATAAAAAGGTATAGTAATTTATTTTTAATATATTTATTTTGTCATATATTAGATATATTATTATTATTATTATTATTATTATTATTATTATTATTTCTTTTGTATACAGATTTCGTTCCGGACCACAACCAGAGGGCAAGGGTCAGAAATGGCTTCAAGACATTTCTCACTGACCATTTTTAAAAAAAAAAAAAAAAAGATTATGCACGTTTTACATAGATAAAGCTCTTCGAAGGTGTAAGCTGTACTTGTGAGTACACTTTTTTGTATTTCTTTAATGCATGGGCTAACAGGAAGTACTTCAGTGAGTCTAATGAAACCTTTTTCAATTAATCCGAGGGCTCCAACTATAAATGGAATTACTTATGTACCCATAGGTCACATTTCTGAGATTTCAAATTCAAGATCCTTGCATTTTGATAGTCTTTGAAAATCTTCAATGAGATAGTGACTGCCATGTCAATAAGAAAGCACATTCTGTTTTTGTTGTCTTTGAACACGATGTCTGGGTGATCAGCTTTGATTGTTCTCTATGTGCGTATAATTGTTAATTATTACTATTATTATTATTATTACTCATCGTATTTTTTTTTATTTCCAACTAGAAATCCTGCGTTAGATATTATCTTCATCAAGTCATACGACCACAAGAAAATAGAACCTTTCACAGAATAATTGCAGAGGCAAAAAACGCACATTTCTGAAACGAAAGGATACAAAATTTTATTTCTATGTTTTTTTTAATGTAGGTCTTTAGTTTCCGTTTTATAATTCCAAACATTCAAATTCTAACTGGGACAATATTATCCTGAAAATCCTAGATTCTGGAAACCTAAATAGTAAAGTCAGTGTTATTATTATAAAAATTCCCTTTTGACCTAAATTTGTTTTATAATCTGTAACCAATAACCATTAACCAATCATAAAAAGTAATCATAACAAGCACAGAAAAACTATTTCCTAGGATACGAGCTGTTGATTAGAATTATTTTTGTCACTATCGGAAGAGATTATGCCCCAGGAATTTTGCTGATCTGTTCTTGAATTCATTTCTTGAGTTACAACCACAACAGGATCAGCCTTAGTCTTCATGTATCGCATTGTTTCTTTTTTCATCTTCAGGTCATTATATTTGCTTAGTTTACCTTCACAGAGATGTTTTTTGTCTCTTTTATACACTCTCGTCAAGCAGTGTGCAAAGGTTTTCTTTTCTCTTTTTGATAAATAATGTCTTGTCGATTTGATTCTCATGTCCAATCTGTGTTAACAGAAAAATCCCAGACGATGGTAAAATCTTCTGCCTCAATTGCAGATTCAGTATAATGTTTATACCAGTTTGCATCTGTTCCAGTCCAGTAGTTATAAGATCTTCTAGTGCAGATATTGAACTCCGCTATCCTGATGTTTTTTTTTACTAACTGAGTGTGAGTATAGAGCACCTTTTGGTAAG